GGCGTTGATCTCCGAGTGGTCCAGCAAGAGGTCATAGTTCATGTCCAACTTGTTGAACATCCAGCCCAGGGAGTCCTTGCATATGGGCAGGATGCTGGTGTCAAACCCTGTGAGAGAAAGGGACAACTCAGCTTCCCAGTCAGAGAACACATGCTCCTGTTCCCCAACCCGGTGCCCCAAAGGGGCCAGGGTGCTCCGTACTGTGTCCTCCCTTCAAGCTTACATATGAGACAGAGACATATCCTAAAAACAGGAGCCAACTTTGGGGAAATATCTTCAAGAGAGAAACCAACCATTCCCTGTGATAATGCATCTGTGATATAAATATGAGTTCCATTGTCTGCAAACCTGCCTGCAAGACGTGTCTGGGAGGAAAACTACAAACACACTAAAATATAAAGTGTATAATACTGAAACCTGAGCTTATTTTTTATGAAAAAAAAAATGAAGACTCAAAATACTGGAGAAAGGAGTGATGGTCGGGAAGACAATGGCAGTTGAATGAAGCTCCATCTATCCCAGAGGCCCCTGCGCCCAGTTCAAGACTGGAAGGTAGAGCACCCGGGTCCCGCCTCTGTTCCCTTTCTTCTTTTCTGCAATCCCCAAGGAGCCACAGGAGATGGAATCCAGACCAACTCAGACAAGCATTTGTTTCTTATTTCCCCAGGGAAGGGGATGTTGTTTTTCTTAAAGGATTGTTTCCACACGGAGACTGTAAAAAACCCACAGGAAGGGTTGCTTAGACTCAGCTCCCCGCTCTGGAAGGCACAGCACTGTGGACAGACACCAAGACCATCTTTCTCTCAGAGCCAAGGGATTACAAAGGCTCGGCTTATCCTAGGCACTGATCTCGAGGACTGGCTTTGTTTTCCTAGATGCTACAGATAAACATGTTTCTAAGCTATAGTCTACAGACCTCATTTTTCTCACTAAATCCAAGGAGCACTCCTGTGAAATGCTGTCATCTCTACTTTGTAGATAAAGAGATAACAAGGTCATGTGACTTCAGAATTGGGATTGGAACCCAGGCAGCCCAGTCCAGCTCTAGAGTTCCCACCCAGTCTCTCCCAAGCGCTCCCCTCTGCTTTCTTTGAAACATTTTTACTGAAATCATACAACTGACTTAGGGTGTCATGACTGAGATACAGTGTCTATAGTGTGGGGTCCTGATGAGACGGACTGTCCGCTCCCATGTGCCCTTCACTTCTGGGTACACCATGGGGGCCTTGGTTTAGTGGGACTCATAGAGGAAGCAACATCTTCATGGCAGATTTGCACAGAAATCTATACAAAGACTTCAGCAAACCTGTGAGCTCTTAGCAGAGGCCAGACTACCCCTCCTCCCCCACTACTGATGCTCGCTAATCCACAAGAAGCCTTCTAAGGGGAGACCTCCGCTTTCTCTTTAATAGCCTCGGCACTTTGGGCACACATTATAGTAAAAGTATTTGTTTTCCAGCTCCAGGAGTTCCCTACCAGTCAGCTCTAAGTTTACCCTTCCGCATAGATCTCCACATATTTAAATTTAGTCATTTTGCTACCAAAGGACAACATCCTTTAAGTTTTTTTTCCAGATGAGACATGGGGTAGGACATGGCCTCTTCTTTAGTTGCCATTATGATTCATCAACAGAAGATGAATTATGTGTGGCTTAGTCAAAAGGTCAAGCCTGCTCTACCTCATTTCCTCAGAAAAGGGCACCTGCACCTGGCATCTGCAGCTGTCAGAGACAGAGAACGGAGCTTGGAGCAAGGCTGGGGGGCTGCCCTTTCAGGACTTAGGGACTGGCAAATGTGTTGCTCTTTTCTCTGGCCTTGTAGGGCCAAAGTATCCTTCCTCCCCAGCATCCTTCCCCACCCCACCCTGCCCCGCCCACCGTGGTGGCTTCAGGACACCAAACCTACAGAGGCTTCAGGGACTCAGTTTGCTCCTAGGTATACTAGTATTTCCCAGGCTCCCACCTGTCTACAGAAAGTCTCTGAGGACCGACTGGAGGCTTCCAGGATGTTTCTTCCCACCAGCCTGCTTTCTGTGCAGAAGTTACTCTGAAAGCCTGGGGCTGGGCTGCTGTTGGGGGACTCATAGACAAGTCTTTCTAGATGGAAATCAGTGTTTGTTCACAAACTGCCAGGGAACCTCTAGGAGGAACTGGAGGGGGGTGGGTAGAAAAAAAAACCCAAACACCAGGGGGGGGGGGAGGACAAAATAAAAACCTCTCTCACCTCACCATTCTACAGACAGGGCTACCAAGAATATCACCCGTAAAGCACATTCTGAGAAGCAAGTGCCACCTGCCATGAAGGCCAGGGAGAGAAGGCTTCAAACTAAGCCATCCTTCCATCCTCATTGATCTTGCCAGGAAGCTATGCGTGTCCAAGAATTACCAACTGTTAAGATCATTGTTTTTGTTCTTGAGACAGCATCTATCCCTGTGGCTCAGGCCAGTCTGGATTCTGTCTATAAACAATCCTCCTGCTTCCCTAATGTATGGGAAAGCATGGGTACAACCATACTGGGCAGAACTCAAGAGACTGGTCCAGTTGAGTGACAGAGTCGACACAGCACCGTCTCACCTCCTGCCTGCAAGCCAGGAGCTCTGCTCTCACAGGTCCATCCAAACCTCTAGAGGGAAGGGGGCTGGCTAAAGACTTTGACCAGGGCATCTCGAATGCACTCACAGCCAAGGTGCCTGTGTTTGAAGGACCAGGAGGATCAGGGATCTCTACTGCAGCCGTTAGCAGCGCAGAGCACTGGGAGGTGGTGTGGAAGTGTGTGTGGCCTCTGCTCATCCCAGAGCTAGTGGGGAAAGAGGGAAGGGGTGCCTGTTTTGGTTTCTGGGGAAAGTTAAACATAGCTGCCAGTATACACAAAAGACACATGATCTGAGCTGATGGCTACACTGTTGCCCATATTAGCAAAAAGTCCCAAATTAAAGGCTCCTTAAGTTGTTATAGCCATGACTAGGATCCTATTTGGCTCCTGCAAGAAACTACGCAACATGAAATCATAATGATATTTCTAGGTGTTTACATTTCCAAAAGTGTGCAAACTTTCCAACACACATGCATCTCCATATTTAACATGGAAAAGGACTTCAATGTAATACTGTAACACGCTTAAGTTGTTAAATGGGTAGATAGTACTCTGTGTGTGTTTATATTTATACACGAATAGACACACAACTTTTTCTATATAGCATGTTTTCTAAAATATCTATATAAAGCATGAGCTCTTTGAAATCACATCTTTTTTCCAAAATAAAATATTTCTCCTGATTCTAAGCATCACCCTTCTTTAATAGTGTTTCTAAAATTGAGACTTGTTTTAAGCCTCTTTCTTTAGCTAAACCCACATGTCTGATAACGGAGAAGGGATACAGACAGCGAACTAGCAAGAACAGAGTGGGCTTACTGCCTTGGGCTGTGTCAGAGCTGGTAGGCTTGATGACTCTGTTGGCATCCTCGTGGAGAGCCCCGAACCAGTCCTTCAGCCGCGAAGCAAGGTTCCTCAGCTCCTTGTCTGTGCAGGCTGCAGGGGAGCACACAGAGCAGACAGTGAACACCCAGGCTCTCGGTGTACAAGGTCATGGGCCTCTTTGCCTGGTCTGTCTGTCTGTCTGTCGGTCTGTCTCTGTCTGTCTGTCTCTCTCTCTCTCTCTCTCTCACACACACACACACGGGATGTTACTGTCATGAGTCAAACATGGGACAAGGAAAGAGGCTGGATTCCCAGGGCAGACAGGTTGTTGGGACTTGGGACTGTCTCCGATAAAGCAAGCTGCTGGCACTTCCCATTTGTGCAGCGTCCTCCAACTCTGACTGACATCCCTTTTGCTAAGCACATAAAACTTGTTATTGCAGTTTAGCCAGAGAACATGACACCTTCCAGTGTGCTCACACTGAGAAATTGGCTCACGCTCCTAGAGAGAAAATGCCTAGGGCACCATGAGAGCCCAGGAGGAATAGATTTCCCATTTTGTATTAGGAAAAGGTGGACTTGTGGATTTGGCCTCATGTTTTTGCCTTCCAGGTACTCATTGCAGCTCTCCACAATGGCCGGTAAGTGTCTTCACCGTGGAAGAGCCCTTTCTGTCTCAGGCCTGGTCACCAGTATAATGTATGACGACGTGATGTTGGCTGATACTGATAAGGACAGGAAGAAAGCCAGGCTGATGGGTGGTGGCAGATAACAAAGTGGGCGCCAACTATTTGAGGGTTCATAGAAGGCTACAGAAGACTTGGGAAATCCAAAAGGGGATAATGATGCTGAGACAGGAGTGGACTCTGGGAGTCTCTCTGCTGTTCTCTCAGCGCCCAACTTCATTCTAAGGGAGAGAATCCTGGCTGGGGGCCCAGGCAATAGGATGCTATCAGGACACTGGAGAAGAAGCAATTGTTTTGTGTCTTTCAGCAATTAGAGAAAGTTTAAAAACCACAAGGCCAAGAGGGAACCAGGAACTGACCTTCATGACTGTCAGCTTTTCGAAGCTCTAAAGCTGGCATAGAGCAAGCAAGCTAAGAAGTTGAGCACACCACAGTTCCAATGTGGAGCTAAATCTGGTCCTGTCCCAGTGTTGAGAGGACACAGCTGGTGGCTCAGAACACGCTGATGTCCCAAGCTCTCCTCTGGAAGCCTCAGAGGGCAACGATGGAGACACAAACTGTCATCCCAAGCCCACTCCAGCCTCCAGAAAGCACAGTGATCGACTGAATCCCAGTGCCCGGCCCCAGCAGACAGCCTTGTTGTCAGGGAGAATGCAGAAGAAGGTAATTCATGGTGGGCAGCTTCCTCATTTTACAGCTCCTGTCCACTGAACCGTGGGTTGGTGCAGTGGCCAGCTTCGCAAACCTCACACAATAAAGGTCTTTCTCCAACTTCCAAACAGGTGTGGAGCTGCAGACCCAGGCTGCCTCCGTTTCATCCCCACCTTCACCTCATCTGGGATGCATGCTTTGGTATCACGTATCCTGTGCATATGCATATGCCCAGATGTTGATACCAAGTTAATAACCACCCAGAGATGCTGCTTCGTCCTTAACACACGGACCTGACTATAGTGTCAGCCACAGGTAGGACGTGAGCAAACTTTCTTGTTGGTAGTAGAATGTCACACTGTGGGGTCACTCTGCCTAGGGTAAATCTCAGCTTCACCACCCACCATAGATCTATCCCTAAATCCCGAGACCTCAGTTTCCATATCTGTAAACAAAGGACAATAAGGTCACAACAAACCCGACAGTATGGTTCAAGCTCTTAACAGATTACAAGATCGTTTGAAACATGTGCCAGATAGTTTTAGTTCTTTTCCATAATTATCTTAAATGGAATATTTAGAGATAGGCTTAGTGCAAGCAAGTGCTGTACATTTCAGAAAATAAAGACTAAGTCAAATGCAAATAATCAAAACTGACTTTGGCTACCTACAAAATATGTGCAAGTGGACACCTGTGTTATCCTACATAAGGGAATCGATATTAAACAAATGTACAAACTAATTCCTCCGGCACATGTCTCATCCCAAGCTGCTCACTCCCCAGCTGGCTGAGCCCTTGCACTGGCGGCACAGGATCCAGATCCTTCCACCAGTGCAGGCTGCCACACTGGTTAGAACCAGGCAAAGGTGGCTTCCGTTCTGATTTCTACCCTTGCATAGGCTCTCATGGTAACTAGCTACCCAAATGTCTGTCTCTTCTCCTTCCCTTTGGCCTTTTAAAATGGATTGAGAAGGAAGACAATAAGCTCCCACAAGCCACCTCCCAACACCTCTGCTAACCTGTGCTCACACACAGGGAGAGAAGCGGTTGCTGCTGAAGGCAGAGAGGTTCTTGTTTTTGCCCCAGTACGGAGTATAATTGCAGGGATGTGCTCACAGTCATCCGCTTATCAGTCCTAACCCAGAGCCTCTGGGGACTAAGCCTGTGCCTTTCTGACCTACCCAGCTCTAGACGGTAGTGTGACTGTCCAAAACCAGGATATGGACTCGCCAGTCAATCTCCCATTTGGGAGCTGAAAACATTCATTTCCCCTCTACCGCTAGTATACACCATCCATTTAGAGTGTTCTGAGCAGAGAAAATTGCCAAGTCAACTTGCGATGAAATCACTCACACACTGAGATAAATTAGTCAGCCATGTTTAACTAAACCCCAAGACAGGCAGGTAACCTGCATATTCACAAGCCTGCTGGAGTCGACCCCCGCCCCAGGCCTCTCAGAGCCCAGAGCCCACGGATGGCTGAAGGAATCAGGCCATGCAATCTTGAAAGAGTGAATATGTCACTCAGCCGCCAAGTCCAGCAGCAGGGAGCCATGGCGTGGCTGGAGGGAGATCAGAGAACGGAAGCAGAGATAGAAGACACCCAATTATTGGGCCCAGTTCCTTTGCGGTATCTTCAGCTGAGTGGTCTTTGAGAGGAGAAAGCCAGGCGCAGCCTGCCTGGAGCATGATATATTCCAGAGGAATAAAAAGGGACAGACGCCTGCAGAGAGCTGTTTGTTTGGATTTGGCGCTCCAGCCACAGCTCAGGCTGGCTGCCTCTTAAGGTGTCTAGCACTCCCTGAGATGGTGGGACTAACTAGAAATCACAGCTTCGGAACTGGGAATCCAGAGAGTATTTCCCAAAGTAATGTTTTCCAGTCTGGAACTGCGAGCCACACCCACCTGCCATTCCCCTCTGCCAGGAAGAGGGACGATTCTTGTCCCAGAGGAGTTCTGCCTTACCCCCATGCCCACGTCTCCTGGTGGGAGAATCAGTCTGCAGAGCAAAGGATGCTCTCCTGGAGACATCTGGTTAAACCAGGACAACCAGGACCAGCATGCAGGCATCACTGAGGTGGGAGAATCAGTCTGCAGAACAAAGGATGCTCTCCTGGAGACATCTGGTTAAACCAGGACAACCAGGACCAGCATGCAGGCATCACTGGGGTCTAGCGTTTCGGTTCTGCTCCCTGTCTCTACCTGTGTTTCTGTTGCCCTTTTCGGCTAGGAAGTCTCTGCTCAGAGTCCTCCGCTGCAGTCCTAGCTCCCTGTTGGGTCACTGCATCTTTCCTGCATGACTCCATCTGCTCCAACAAGACCAGGGCGTTGACAGTGTCCCTGCGATTCTCCGACAACCCCTCCAGCAGGGCCACATCCAGGAGGCAGGAAGTGGTACCTTCAGACATTTGCCCTCAGAGCAGACATTTGGAAGCTGCTTTGGATTTCTTCATGTTCCTCACCTTCCCAGTCAGCTGGCCACAACAGGTTTGTTTCTGTCACTGCCTTCACTGCCTAGTCCAGTCCGTGGCACCAACGTTGCTCCCACTGGGTTGGCCACGACAGGCTACTACTCTCTACAACCTCCCAACCCAGCAGCCACAGTGACCGTTCTGAATGGGACACTGGGTCAAGCCACTTTCTTGTCTGGTACTTCTGGCTCCTGGGGTGCTCTGTTAGCTGAGCCTTAGTCCATGGTGTAAGTGGCCCGTGGGATCAACCCATGGTTTTCCCTGCTCTGCTGGCCTTGCTGCCCCTCCCACTCTTTACCTCAATGTCCCTAGCCCGGTCACCTTGCCCACGACTCCCTTACATCTCAGTTTTAAGGTTATTTCTTTCCCGAAGTCTTCCAGGCCAGTGCCATCTCCCCCTTGATCGTAGGAGCATAGACTAGTGCTGCTAGCCCTCAGCATGGAATGCAGCCTGCTACCTGCTTGAAGGATGCTCTCATTATGTAGCTATTGACAGACTCTCATAACCCTCTCTCCGCCTTTTGTAAACTGTGGTTCTTCCATCTGTGAAATGGCAAATAGAAGCTTAGCTGCTGGCATCATTGCATGGAATCAGATATCGGTAAAGCATAGCTCACAGCGACTGGCACGTAGCAGGGACTCATATCCCAACTGTCTGCATGATATGTTGGCATTTTATTGTTATGCTTTATTTTTTAAAGTCCGAAGAGATGGGGTTGATATAAAGAATAACATCTCCCCTCATTTATTTTATAGCTGTGCCGTGCAGAAGGCCAAGAGACTGGGGTTTCAATTTCTGTCTGCCTTCTCCTGGTTGGATAAGCGGTGAGTTGGGTGACTGGTGTGACTTCCCCGCACCCACATTCCCAGCCTTATTGTAGGGGGTATGCAGTAATTGTTCAAAATATATTTATGGGAAGAAAACATGAATCATTGATTGAGCCCATTGGTTACAAAATCCCAAGTCAAGAGCCACACTAAGTGGTAGGATTGGGGTTTGAAGCTAGGCCGCTCTCTCACAGGGTCGGTTCTACGCCGGGAGGGTTGGGGGAAGCAGCTTCCTTGGATAGACTGGGCTTGTGGGTAGCCAGCAGTAATGAGTGCAATTAATAAACCTGGTCAGGCCTTCACCTGCACTGGGAGCTCCTCCAGTGACACAGAGAGCAGCTGGCCCAGCAGTTCAGGATGGAGAGGGCAGCAAGGGAGGCTCGTGCCTTCATTAGCGCTGGTGTGAGAACGACGGTCATTCGGGAGAACGGCGGAACAGGCTGCCTTGTGTCACAGGCGCAGTCACCAGGGCTTCATTAGGAAAACGAATAGGACCATGGCACATTATTCTACACGGTACAGAAAGACAGCTCACTCCCCCAGGAAACCACAGCACACAGGCGGGGAAGGGCCCAGGTAATATGGCGCTCTCCCAATGGACTTGTGTCTGCTTGCAAAATATGACCAGACGGCAAAGAGCAGAGGTGGCTCCGCAGAAGCTAAGCTGCCCAGAAAGCCAGCATGGTGATTTTCCATATGTGCTTTCTTACATCCCCACCTGAGAGGCAAGGAGCTCGCACGGGTATGGAATGGGCTGGAACTGAAGGCTTTCAGCAGGTGACCCAGATGGCAGAGGAGATATGTGCTGTGGCCAAAGCTAGAGACAGGGCCCCTCTTTGTGTCACTGCAGCTTGGGGCAACAAGGAGGAAGAGAGATGGTTGGTCCGTCAGTATTACCTAGTGGGGCAGTTAAGATTGCCAGAGGAGCAGCCACCAGGAAGAGGCAGCCATGATGCCTGCTCCCCATCACCAGCCTGGCTGCTGGCCCTGGGGCCCCTATGGCTAGTCCTTCCCAGGTCCTCTTCCCTCCCACAGACGACACTAAGGCCTGGCGAAGAGCAGACGAGGAAGCTTTAAAGTATGCTGCAGGCCCCTATCCTGAGCTAGCCTCTGGTTATTAATGAGCGTGGCAGCTGAAAGAGAAGATGGCCATTCCAGAAGGCGACTTCTGAGAGGACGCGTGCAGAGGTGCAGAAAATGCTGGGGAAGCGACATAAAAATGCAGACGGTGACTGCATGCACATTCTTATTTAAATCAAGCGCTAGCACCTACCTGAGGGACAGGAACAGGCACCTGTGATGGTGTCCCTGCGCTAGCAGCTCTAACTGAAGCTGCATCTGAGCATCCACGGGGGATGTCTGAAAATGGCAACCCTGACATTACGCCAACATCCCGGGATACCTGTGCACCTCTGCCTGGGGACCGATTCTCCTGGTCTGCTCCTCACTGCATGAACTTCTCCAGCTCGAGAGCCCAAGTTAAAAACCTACTCCACCTGCCCAAACCTACCTCCTCCCACAATCAGCCTCACGGATGCTTAGCTCAGGGCTCTGCAGAGGCTAATATGAAAACAATCCGGATTTAATTTAAACTTTAGTGCCTCGGAAGGTAATTAAAGAGTTGGGCCAGACTCAAGTTCTTTCTGGGAGCAAGCCGAGAGGCCTCTCCGCAATGGAGACCTGGTGCGATGGTCCTTTCCTGCTAATCTCCCTCAGCCCTCCTAGGTACTGTTGTGAATAATTACTTCATCAGAGCAGCTCTGGATCAGTGAGCTCCAAGTGTTTGCAATTAGCAGCTTCGGCAGAGGGTCCAGCTGAGCCTTCTTTCTGGCGACGATTAGACGCTGGGATAAGACTTCCAGAGCCAGGATCTGAGCAAAGTCAAGGTTCCTCTTAACCCACCCTGTCTAGGCTAGTTTCCCCTCTCACCAGTACAGCCTCGTGCTGCTGGTACCCGCGGGGCTCTAGGCTCCCCTTCCTCCACGGGACTAGATCTAGTTGTTGTGTATCTGACATTTAGCAGGAGTTACGATGCTTGAGCAATAGACAGGAGGGCTGATGAGGAAATGCTGTAAGACCTTGACAGAGGAAGGGCACAGTGACTCCAGAGTTCCCTTTAACACGGCTCTGATAAACTGATAACACAAATAAGCAGACTGAAGCTGCTTATTCAGGTTTTGCAGCAACAACCAAAACCATTCTGCCTTCAAGGGCTACCAGGAAGTCAGGAGCGAGGAGGTGGTTTTTGGAAAGACAGGTCACTTCCAGATGAGACTGCGGATGAGGATCTGCCAGTCTTTGGTCTCCTTGCCATTGTATCGGAGGTAAAGCCCAACTAACCAGCAGAATTCCAGGAAGAATTAAATCAGAACAGACTTAAGCACTCAACCACAGGCCTGACACCTAGACCACCACAGCCAGCAGTGATTCCCTGCTGTGTTTGTGGGCGCAGAGCAAGGCCATGAGGGACCAAATGGGAAAACTGTAAAGGCCAGACCCTACACACCTGGTGCTTGAATGCAAGTCATCTCACAATGCTACCCAGAAAGCCCTGATTCTCTGCTGCCATTCAGAGAAGTCCTACAGATAGTGAGGGGAGACCCCGAGACTCCAAACTCAGCGTTCATCTGCTCCTGTGTTACAGCCCATGATCCCAGTGGTTCCCGCTCTGCTCCTCCACACAGTCCCCGCCTGGCACATCGGAATGATCTTGTGGTGCACTGGCAGCAGGCTAGGGACTGTGCTCCCGTTAGACTTTTGAATACCAACCCCCAGGAGACCAGTTGTCCTCAAACAACTGGCAAACCTTCAGGAGCCCCTGCTGCTTCCTTTTCTGTAAATGGGGACAATGGCGGCCTGGGTCTTACTCTCAGCTGAAGAGGTAAGGCAGAGCGCTGGGAGAATTAAGTCTCAAAACCAACAGGAAGCTGCCACTACCTTCTGAGCTGGGGGCTTTGGGAGCGAATAGTACCTGCTCTCGAGAGAGTAATATTGACGCTTCAAGCCACACGCGACTCTAAAGGGGGCTCCATGAAGATCTTCGGAAAGCACACACCATGAATCCCATTCTAACTGGAGCTCACTAGACAGACTAAGCTGTGCTTAAATTAAACCGTGTCACACATGATTCTAGCTTTTACTTTTCAGTGCGTAAAACATCAATATATATGCATGTACTCTTATCCTTAGAGAAGGTGCTGTTTTATGCAAAAGCAGGAACAAGGAAGGAATTAAGGCTCTGTCATTCAGGAGCTTGCTAATAAAACCCTCCTTAAAAAGCAGTCTTTGGAAGAGCTTCAGATACTGACATTAAACCTGGAAGCAGAAACGTTAACTAATTAATGGTACACCTCGCAATCGGGGATGGATGCATTTCCTATTAAAGCCATTAAGACTATTCTTGGTAACCTGATTTGAGGCGGTTCAATGTTCCCTCGATTCTAACGACAGCCCTCCATTTGGGAAAGGAGATGTGTTTAGAGTCTGCCCGCCATTTGTAAGTGTGCATTCGCAGAGTGACACTTGTTTGTTTCCCCCTTGAACAATCTCACAGGGAAAGTTGGCCAAATGAAAGAAGCTTTGGAAACTTCGGATAAAATCCACAGCCATTCATAATATTCCGAGGCAAACATGCATTATTGAGTATGCAAAATATTGACTATAAATGCCAGCTCTGGATTCAATTGTATTTCTAGCAGGTGAGCCAGCATTTGCCTGTAGAGGAGACTCGGCATAGGCTGATTGATGTGGGAGTGTCATATATCAATCTGTTGATTTCATTGGCTGAGCAATAAAGAAACTGCTTGGCTTAGCTTAGAGCATAGATGGGAGGAGGAAACAGAATAGAATTCTGGGCGGAAGAGGAAGTGAGGTCAGACTCTGCTCTGCTTCCAGAGAGACCCAACAGCTCTGCTGGAGCAGAGACGCCATGCTCAGCTCTCCCAGGCAGCTGCAACCCACAATGGACTTAGGCTAGAATCTTCCCGGTAAGCGCACCTTGGGGTGCTTACACACATCATTAGAAATGGGCTAGTCCAGGTGCGAGAATTAGCCTGTAAGGGCTAGAGTTCATGGGCCAAGCAGTTCTTAAATGAATACAGTTTGTGTGTTGTTATTTCGGGCATGAGCTAGCCAAGCGGCCGGGGTGTTGGGGACGCAGCCCCGCCGCTCCTATTTCAACAGATGGCGCCCAGACGTGTGGCTAACTGAATCCACAAAAAGCCTGAGAAAGCTTGGGAAAGAATGGAGTGAAGCATGTTTTCTTGGTAGCAGAAATTTCTTGGGTCTGCTCCGCTTGCTAGAGGCAAGCAAGCGCTCTCATCTAAGAGAGGCTTCCTGACTCAGCTTCAGCTGCAAAACCCTGCAGCTCATTAAGAGGTCCTGCCACGAAACACTTAAACGGTGTTGGTGAAAAGCTGAACGCATGCTTTTCGGTTTTCAGCCGTAGCAGGAAAAAAGTTGTGCTGTTTAAAAATGCCGGCTTTCTGGGCCGTCCTGCCAGGGCAAACTCTGACTGAGGCAGGAGGGCCAGCTACAGAGAGAGGACTTGACTGTTGTCTGTTGTAGCTCGCTTGCTGGCAGGGACCTTGAAACGCCATAGAATTGTGCCTATAAACGCGGCTACAGCCTGTATCTCCGCCATGAGGCTGGAAAGCTAAGGAATGGACTGGATCTAGCTGGCAAAGCCACGGCTTTAATCCTACTCATATTGCTCAGTAATTTAAAGGCTCCTGTGGTCAGAAAAACAGAGAGAGATACAGTAAAGAGATTCAAAGATAAAGAAAATGTTTAAATGATTTACAGTGTGTTAAAAATATATGCAAGCTAAAAGTTAAAAGTTCTTAAAAAAAAGTAAGAAAAAGAGAAGTTGTGTGTGGTAGTACACGCCTTTAATCCCAGTGCCTAGAAGGCAGAGACAAACAGATCTCTGTGAGTTCAAGGTGTGGTAGCAAACACCTTTAATCCCAATGCCTGGGAGGCAGAGACAGGCAGATCTCTGAGAGTTCAAGGACAGCCTGGTCTACAGAGTTATTCCAGGACAGAGATACAGAGAATATAAAATGAAAGTAAAAATAAACTTAATAGAGGTTAAAATAAAGCTCACAAAGATGGAAAATACACAGAGAATCTTGATACTGTATGCTATTATGCTCTCTTTGAATTGTTTGAATGCTGAGGAAGGAGCAACAGATGCTAAAAGATATTTGTTTATAAATGCTGCTGAACTAATCCAACGTAGAGATTTTAATGCCTTGGCTTTGATATTTGGATCTAAGGACGTGATGCTTTCAAAAGGAGTTTCTTATTTTGTTTTCACAGAGGATGAGACCCTGTTCATTTCTTCTATTCCGATATGGTATGATGGACCACGCCCTCCTGAACGGTTGCTGTGAATACCTTCAAAAAATTGCTTCGCTCAACTTCCAACTGAGATGAAACTAGCACACAGGTTATACCACAAAAGACCTAATTAACAGCGCCCCCATTCAGCAGGAAGCAGTTTGGAGAGAAAAAACTACGCCCATGTTCCCAAATATTGTTTACAAATGTTCTTTTACATTTAAAGGGGGATATGATATAGATATGAATAATTTGCATTGGTATGGATTTTAAGGTCAATTTTGTTATATGCATTTTTGATCTTGATTAAGGTATTGTGTTGTGTAGTTCATTTTAAAATGTAATGTATAATTAGGAAATATAAGTTGTTAATGAATAATCATTAATAATAGTTAAGTTTGTAGTCATGTTAGTTAAGATTTTCTAGATGTGCATACATATATTTTAGATAGGCATTCTTCATATTTTTCAAAGATTATAGAATATGGCATTTTAAATGTTTTAATAACTTAGGACTTCTCATGACAATGAGACACTCTGCTCCTGGCATCACCAATCTACTTCAAGAGGAAGATGGGCATCGAAGAGGATCCTTATGGAGTTTGATAGCCATTTGGCAAGAAACTGCTCTTGCCTGGACTATTGCATAAACTGGACACAGAGAACCCGCAGAGAGAGGACTGCTGAACTTGCCTAAAGGTGAGATGATCTTTCGGGGTTCCTGCTTCATGAAAGAGTCTGCAAGACATTCTTCAGGACAAGCAGATAGTGACTGCCTTTGAAATTTCCTGCATTGTGGAAATGTCTGCTGGAAACTATGGGCCTGTAGGCCGAAGATGGATGCCCCAACGGTACAGAGGAACTTTGGGTGACTGTCCAGGCAGCGAGATGTCTCTGTCATTTCTAGAGCTTTGGATGTTAAGTTAAAGCCTTCTTTTTTTTTTTTTTTTTGTTTAAACAGAAAAAGGGGAAGTGATGTGGGAGTGTCATATATCAATCTGTTGATTTCATTGGTTAAGTTATAATAAACCAACTGCTTGGCCTCAGCTTGGAACATAGATGGGAGGAGTAAACAGAATAGAATTCTGGGCGGAAGAGGAAGTGAGGTCAGACTCTGCTCTGCTCCCGGAGAGACCCGACAGCTCTGCTGGAGCAGAGACGCCATGCTCAGCTCTCCCAGGCAACTCCAACCCACGATGGACTTAGGCTAGAATCTTCCCGGTAAGCGCACCTTGGCGTGCTTACACAGATGATTAGAAATGGGCTAAATTAATATGTGAGAATTAGCCTAGAAGAGGCTAGATAGAAATGGGCTAGTCCAGGTGCAAGAATTAGTTAGAGTTCATGGGCCAAGCAGTTCTTTAAATGAATACAGTTTGTGTGTTGTTATTTCGGGCATGAGCTAGCCAAGCGGCCGGGGTGTTGGGGACGCAGCCCCGCCGCCGCTCCTATTTCAACAGCTGATGTGACCATAGAGGACAACATACAACTGGCAGTTGCAATGAAGGAGTTCAGGGCCACCCAGAGGTGTTAGGTGTCCCCAGAGAATAAAAGCCTTGCTGAAGAAGTGGCGGCTGCTATTCCCATGCAAACACGCAATGAGGTGCTCTCCCCAGACAGGCTGTAGATGGGTTCAACCTGGGTTACTCAGGGTGCCGGAGCATAACGCACTCTGCTATATTGCACACTACATAAGCAAGCACATTTCCGGTCTACAAGGTAACAGACCTGTGAGTAGCTTTAGAGACAGAACTCTGTGTTTGAGGAAGGGATAATTCATGAAGAATCTCCATCTTTAAAAAGAAGTTTAACCTGATCAAATTCAACATTCAAATCTAGGTATTACAAAGTATAGTTTTTTTTTTTTATTCTGTGTTTTCAATGCCTAGAGCACAGACATTTCTACCCTTAAGCAAGAGAACACTCCACTGCTAGTTAGCACTGCAGTGGAGAGCTAAGGGCAAACTTTGAGCTGAGATTTTAGGCTGGGTAGGAAGTCTAGGAGGTACCTGGAACCTACGTTTGGCTTCCTTAGGGAGGGGACACTAAACACTGTCACAGTCATAATCTAGTGACAAAAGAAATGAGACATAGAGTCCCTCTCCCCCACCCCCAGTTTAGAGCAGATGGTGGTGCCTTAAACCAGCCATTTGGAAGGGAGGCGACACCACACCCTCCGGTGACAAAGGACGGGTAAGTAGCGGTATCTCCATGTTCTGAGTCCAGAGTAAGAGGAGGGAGGCCAGAACTGGACTGAGAACCCAGAAAAGGGTCACTGAAATGCCCGAGTCTGTCATCTTTATTCTCATTAGGTGACAAACTGGGGTCCCATCAGGATTTAAGAAGAGACTGCCCAAGATGGAAGGTACCCCAAGCTGAGTGCCCGGTTCACCAACCCTTGCTCCCTTCAGGGTAGAGACTCACTCTCAGTCTGTCCTCTCCCCAGCTGTGAGTGTGGCTGACATGAGAAGTAGCTGGCATCTGAGCCCACAGACCTTCCAAGACTACCCCTGACACAGGATGAGGTATCAACCACCATTACTTCCAATTTGATCAGAATTGCCAGTCTAGCGAGCTAGCATCTACATGGGAAAACAGTAAGCAACTTCCACCTTCCTCTCCATAGACAATAAAGAAGGTACGCAGAAAAGGGTGGGAATTTCACTTTCATTAGAACTAGGAGAGAGAGAGAGAGAGAGAGAGAGAGAGAGAGAGAGAGAGAGAGAGAGAGAGAGTCTTGAAAGCCAGAAACTTAGCAGATGGAAGTGAAAAGTAAAATGTCCACAAGGGTCTATAAAATGATAACAAACACAAATATGTCTGCCTCCCTAAAGTTACTGAAATGTTCTGCTCAGCAAGCACTAAGGGATGTGGTGGGGGTAAGGGCTGGAAACAGATTGAACAGAAACCACACAGGAAGAAAAAGGCATGAAAAAGGGGGGGTGTGCATCCTAGAGGCAGCGGAGCTCAGAAAACACACCAATATAGTTCCTTGTGTTTTGTGCAGACAAGAGGCTCACTGTAAAATACAATGGAGTGTGACAGGGACACTGGAAGTCGACAGAGCGGAGTAATGAGCAAAGCCCCCGTGGGCCTGATCTCTTTACAGAGACAAGGAGGCTAGGCCCATGCAGAGGGGCCATTTTAAAAGGGAGCCATCTGTCTGTCCTGGTAAGTTGGATGCTTTTGGAATGGTGAAGTCCACAGAGGACAGATTGGCTACCCTCCCCTGAAGACTCCCTTGTTCTTATTGTTTTAAAGACTGTGACCCTGTTGGTTTAGAGACTTCATAGCAATTGGGGGAAAATCAGATATGACAACCAGAGAACACTGAGCAGAAAACATGAAAATGGGGGCCAAGCAAGCAACAGAAATGAAAAAATTGCCTTTGAAGAAAACAAGAAGAAGATAAGAACACAGCACATCAAAGCTCAGAGGAGGAAGAGGCAGGATGAGAGAAGCTGAGACTGGAGGAAGCAGAATGGACAGGAACGACAGCAAGCAGGAGGACGTCAGAGTGAGCACAGGGACCAACAAGACAAGGGGAGGAATCGCTGCACATCAGAGAGGTAAGTGACAGCCCGGAAGCAGAGGATGCTCCTCATGGGGATAACTGATGGGCTTGAGGATACCATGGGAGCATAAACCAGAGTGGGCTGCAAATCCAATTCCTTAAGTAAATCCCATTTTACAATCTGGGCCAAAGGAATGGCCTCAGGATGGCCAATATGAAGATCCTCTTAATCAAATCACTGGATTTTCAAAGAAAGTCAATATGGCGGTAGAAGATACATCCTAGGGACTTCTGAGAGAGAAAAGTACAATGCTGCCTCCAGATTTCAGCAACATTCAGGGTGGGAAAGCAAAGCCTGAGCCAGAGCTAAGGCAGAGAAAAACACTGAGAGATAGCGAATCAAGTCATATAGGGTTTTACAAAGCAAAGGCAAGCGCTAGGAGAATCCGCATATTGCCAACTAGAGGACAGAAAGGAAGGAAGCTTTAAAGAAAAATGGAGGGTAGGGGAGAGAGTAAGAAAATCATCTGGGTTTTATCACTGTTTATAGTGTTGGTGGGGGATGTTTGTAAATGTCCCAAATTTTAGCTACTCAGGAGAATCACAGGTTTAAAGCACACCACGACTAAATAGGAATTATAAGACCAACTTGGCAACTTAAGAAAACAAGCAGCCAGGTGGTGGTGGCTAAGCCAGGTAGAGGTGGTGCAAGCCTTAAATCCCAGCACTTGGGAATTAGAGGCAGGTGGATCTCTGTGAGTTCAAGGCCAGCCTGGTCTACAGAGCTATTTTCAGGACAGCCAGGATAACACAGAGAAACCCTATCTTGAAAAACAAAATAAAATAAATAAAGCAAACAATAGCACCAACACAATCAAACTTAACTTCAATAGCAATAAATGTAAATGAGCTAAATTCATCTCTCAAAAAGATTATATTTCTAACCACGTCACAAAGAAAAATCTAACTAGATATTGACTACAAAAGATTTAACAGAATTGAAGGGACTCAGAAAGGCTACCAGATGTTTTCATTATAAATTTCCACTGTGGAACTCATAGCTCATTTGTGGTCAAGAATACAAGCTCTATATGGCAGTACTGTCTGAGATAACAAAAATCAGGAAACTATTCCAATATCCCCTGTAAGTTGGTTATAACACACCCACCCATTGTAATCAATAGTTGATACAGTTGTATCATGTACAGAACTCTTTGGGACACAAATTTTAAAAATAAATCAACATTCTATATCACATAGGATCCTTGTCTGTGCTTCTATAATACATCAAGAATCTAATAGGAGTTGGAGAGATTGCTCACCAGTTAAGGGAACTTACTGCTCTTGCAGAGGACCTAGGTTCAGTTCCCAGTACCTCTACATTGGCTCACAACAGTCTGTAACTTGAAGGAATCCAACACACTCTTCTGACTTTGTGGGCACTGCATGCTCATGATGTATATACATACATGCAAGAAAAACTAATGAGTCTTCCTCTGTCCCACCAGCCAGCTCCCAAATAATGACATAGAGACTTCTTATTCATTATGAAAACGGGGTGTATAGCTTAGCCTTATTCCTAACTAGCTCTTACAACTTAGCCCTTTTCTATTAACCTACATTGCTATCATTTACCACCCATCCTTCTTCCTCCATGTCTCCTCGAGTATTTCTCTCACGCATCTGGATTCTTCCTTCTCCTCCTCTCTGCCCAGAAGTCCCACCTATACCTCCTGCCTAGCTATTTGCTGTTTACCTTTTTATTACACCCAACCACAGCAATACACATTCACACATTCCCATGAAACACTCATATACACAAAATACAAATATAAATTAAAAGATTGATAATAGCAAGATAGAACAATGAAGGGAGAAATGGCTTTAAAAAAGAAAAAAGAAAACAGGGTGGGGAGCTTTAATTTGGGAAACTATGAAAGGTCAATATAAAAGGAGGGGGGAAGAAAAATAGCACTAGAGATGTTTGGAAAAGCTGTAAAGAATATTTTAACCACAATTACATATAATAAAAATAAGTATATATCTATAGATAAATAGACAGATAGGCCAACAGACGAATGGATAGATCTAGTTTTAAATGATGCTCTATCACTTGGGTTGACCCCAAGAGCAATAGATAATCAGAAAACCCTCTGATTCAGGACACGAGAAACCTTTTTTGAGTTGTCAGTCATGGAGTCCCTTGGACTCCCCTAACCATATAGGCTATTGCTGCTGTGCTTGGCTGCCTCCCAGAGGCTGAGGAAAGTCCCTATTGCTGAAGACACCATGCACTTTAGACACACGACTCGAGGAATCTGACCTATATCTGATCTGAAACCCCCCCCTCCCTGAGACTAGCTTTCATAGTACCAGGAGTTGCTATGCAAGCTTCCAAGGTGGAGGAAGCAACCAATAGTCCTGTCCAGCTGATGCCAGGAGCCACAACAATGACCAGCATGCCAAGATGTCCCTAAGGGTGCAATAGCAGCACTCACAGCTTGGCAGTAAACAAAGATGTCTAATTGGACTTGAGACCTGACCCATTCGGTAGGAGAGAAATCAGGCCCGGCACAGGACATTAAGCCAATGCCTGGTCCTAGTGAGGCCATGCATGTCCTACGAACACTTGAACTAAACCACGTGATTCCTAATGGAATTCTAAATACATGTCCTTCTACCCACAGGTAAGCGTAGTTCTCGGGCCTCATCAAAGCTCCTCTTTGCAATGGATAGAGATCACTGAAGAAAACACAACTGGTTTGAATGAGGAGAACCTGTTGTAGGATGTCCAGCTCCATGGATACATCTTCAATACAGCTCCTGCATATAAACCTCAAGAAACACTGCAGAACAGGGGCCAGGAAGACTGTATGAGTGGTCAAAGGGCGTGGGTGTGTCTCCTAGAAATGACAGAGAAGCTTCCCATGATACCTACACAAGACCTGGATAAAGGAACTCTCACAAGGCCTCATCTGTAAACTGAGCTACCGGTAACCGATGACAATGGCAAGATGGAATATTAGTCCTTTCAGGGATGGGCCCCCTAATTGGTTTTCTGATACTAATTGATTAACCCTGAAATCATGTACGTACAAGGAACACTAAGTAGTTTAAGCAAGGTTGTATTTATATATTTATGTGTATATACATTTATACATACATATATATGTAATAATAACAAAGAAAAAGACCATGAATTTGAGAGAAAAGGTAAAGAGGGATGAAGGGAGAAAAAAGTTGGAAATGGTATAGCTATATTTTAATTTTACTTTTGAAATAAAAAGTAAATCTTTATAAAAAGAAACTTTTCAAGGACACATGAAAATTAGTAATGACAGTTTATTTTGGGGCAGAAGCCAGACCACTGGGAGAAGAGCCTGTATTGCTTTAAATGGCTTTTGTGTGTGATATAAATATACGCACAGCATCAAAACAATGACACCGTCCTTGCCTGTCTCCCTCACCCAGCCACCTGCTCCCTGAATCAAGGGACTGCACATCACACTCAGTCATCTCTGCAAAGTTAAGGTCTGGAAACAATTGTGGCTGGTTGGACTTCACAGAGGATAAATAACTGGATGAACAGATAGGACAATAGGAAGGATGAAGCTTGGGTCTGGACCACAGGGGACTTCTTACCTGCAACTCAAGACAGTGCGCACCCATCCATCCATCCACCAGTTTTCATGCTTACATGCTGATAATTGGTTTTTGACCCCAGAGGGGCGAAATCTTCCTTAAATGCAGGACTTTTGAAATCCAAACAATTTGTGTATTGTTCTGCATTGTTTCCCGGGACCTGGGGGAAAGTCTAAAAGAAGCCACTCCCTAAGCTACTCTGAGGAATACAGAGATGATTAAGACACAGCCCTCGCTTGATGCCCGCAATTCACTCTCAGCTCTGATCTGTAAAAGATGGACAGGCACGTCCCTCACACCAAGCTTGTGGAGTTTAGGTGATGGAGTCAAAAGTGCTCTCTCTGAGTGCTCCCTGATGGGGACCCAGGGCTCAGTCGGGTCAACCCCCCTGGAGGAAGCTGTACATGCAGCCCAGCACCTGGAGTCCCACTTCTCTGTGCTGTATCACAATGTGCCAACCTCCTGGGCTGGCCATCGGGGCAGGAAGGACGTTGCGGGGTCCCTGATTTACCCCTAGATCCCAGCAACCTGCCTGGTCAAAAGCAGACTTCAGTGGGTTTACAAAAGGCATAATAGGGAAAAATCTGAACATGTTTGGTGATGTGAAAACAGGTTCCACTACTGCAAAAGCACTGAGAACTTGCTTGGTGAATGGACTTAAGTCCCCGCGAGATCAAAATGGACAGCTAAAGTCAGGGGAACACGTTCCCTGCCAAACAGTGAATGGACCTGAAGGGGACAGGAGAGCAGACAAGGATGAAGATAGCTTGTCTCAGCCAAGCCCCAGAACGCCTCAGGGTGGCCTTTTGTCTGCACCGCATAGCTGAGAATAGCAAACCTTCCATCTTGCCCATTTAAGCCTACCCATTTGAACCCAGGACCAAAGGATTCTTGTGTGCCTTGAACCCACAAAGGAAAGAGGAGCTCTGACCATTTGACCACAGACACTGTCACACCGACTCCCTAGGCTTGGACAAAGGAAAGGCCAGGACACCTGCTCGTTCTCAATGAGTACAGGGTCTCTTGGGCTGAGCCTGCATCTACTACTTTCTAGGCTGGGGTTGCCTCCAGTGCTAACACTTCAGACCTCAGACCTCTCCTGCAGCAGCCTGGGAGACCCCAGACAACCTCAGCTTTGTCTGCCATGATTGCAGGGTCCTAGAGTCCCCTCACACCTGGCTTCTTTCAGCCCTGGCTTCTCATTGCTGTCTGGGTAGTTACCCCTGTGTAATTTAGTTTGCCAGTGTCTCTGCAAGCTTATTTGAAAACCATGGAAGGCTGCTTACAGAAAATTAAGCTTCATTTTCTTTAAGCATCCAGCCAGCGGTGCAGGCAGGGGCTGACGATTTGGAGATAACTGGCTTTTGCATATGTAAACATGATGCATTTAGCAAATTACGCAGACTTCACACTTCAGAGCATTGAAGAAAACAAAGAGGTCTTCCAGGACAACTCCAGTGCAATCGAGCCTTTCCGAAAAGGATGCAGAATTATTGGCTTGGAAGAAGAATGGAGCGCAGACAGGAATGGAAAATAACAGTTTATAGTGTGAAGCACGGGCAGAAACAAGAACTGGAACAGGTCTAATTTTAAGTGGTTTTATGGCAACTCTAAGGACTCGTAGGAATTATAGATGGTACGTGTTTTGAGATTGAATTCACAGTAAAAAGACATCGTACACTCGGATTCAATTCCACGGGGACCCCGTGTGCTTCACAGTTTCCCAGGACATGGTTTTCTCCTTGGGCCTAGAGAGAAAATTCTAGGTCTGCCTTAAGCTAAAAAGCATTTTGATAGGAAAAGCGGCCCTGCAATCTATGGGACTTTGTTTCCGTTCTCCACCAGGACCTGTTGCCTCTGTCCCTTTTCCTATCTCATCATCCACCAATTATACCTGAACGTGTAATTAAAAGCCTTACTCGGGTAAAAGTAGCTGTTAGTAGCCAACACCATAGAACCAGACGGGTCAGGTAGGAGAGGAAGCCTGCTGGAGTATCTGCACATCTGCAGGCTGCAGGAGAGGCAGCTTAGGTTTGCAGTCCTGCAAGTAAAGAACAGTCATCAAGACCAGCTGCTGGCTTTAGGGGTCGGATGGTATCAAGGCAGCGTGGCTGGTTTTGTTTTCTAGAACGAATACCACAGACGCCCTGATGCCCCAAGAGCTGTTAGGTGTAGAACATCTACTGCCACCAATACCCGGCTAAGACTTCGCCTTTGTTCTCTCCACTTCATGCTAGTGACAACCTCTCGGTGCCCTCGTCATGATTTCTGCTTTACGGATGTGGACATTAGGCTGAAGGAGGTTAAGAGAGATTTTTCTGGCTGCTGCCGAGTGCTCATTTAACGACAGGCACTAAACACACAGACACGACCTCACTGAATCATCAGACCAGCTCTGTGCACGGTATGAACCTCAATATATCTGCTGCAGGCAGCGGACCCACAGCCCGTGAAGTCAAGGGACTAGTGTCGAGAGAGCCAGACATCATACTCAAGGCTAGGATACAGACATGTCTGTTCTGCTACATCCTACTCTGCCCCTTTTAAAAAGGGGGCTTCTGTCTTAGTCAGGGTTTCTGTGGCTGTGGTAAACACCACACCCAAAAGCAACTTGGAAAGGAAAGGGTTTATTTTGGTCTGCAGCTCTCTGGTCACGCTCCATTGCCAAGAGACGTCAGGACAAGGGCTCAAGACAGGAACCCGGAGACAGGAACTGAAGCAGAAGCCATGGAGGAGTGCTGTTTACTGGCTCCCCATGGTTTGCTCAGTCTGCTTTCTTATACAGCTCAGAACCACCTGCCCAGGGGATGGAACTGCCCACAGTGGACTGGACCCTCCCACATCAATCATAAATCAAGAAAATGCAGCCCTCCCCATTTTCCAATAGGCTGATCTGATAAAACATTTTTATTAAGTTGAGAGTGCTTCTTCCAAAATGACTCTGGCTTGTGTCAAGTTGACGCAAAACCAGTCAGCACAGTCCTCTGAGTCAGCAAATGAGAGGGCACCAGAGAGAGGCTCTTCATGTAGCCAGAGGTCATGCTGACCTGGAGATGATGTGGTACTTCCCCTCCACGATCTTGCCAGTGTGTGTATGTGTACACAGGTGTATGTGTGCACGCACATGTGTGTGATTCCAAGGGATACTCATTCACCCTCACCACAATGCACCTGAGATACCACTGCTGCTGTGGGACAATGGTCTTGTGCCCTGTAAATATCTGTCACTTGTATTGCTTTAATAAAATGCTGATTGGCCAGTAGCCAGGCAGGAAGTATAGGTGGGGTAAGGAGAACAGGAGGATTCTGGGAAGAAGAAAGGCACAGTCTTCAGTCATCACCCAGATGCAGAGGAACTAAGATGAGAATGCCTCACTGATAAAAGGTACCAAGCCATGTGACTAACACAGACAAGAATTATGGGTTAATATAAGTTATAAGAATTATTAAGAAGCCTGAGATAATAGGCCAACCAGTGTATAATTAATGTAGGCCTCTGCGTGTTTCTTTGGGACTGAAAATCTGCAGGACCGGACCGGATTGGACAAAAACCCATCAGCACCACTGCTCTCGCCCCCATTTTAAGGCTGTGCAGACTGACAGTGGGAGGCTCAAACACTAAAGTAGCAGAGTGAGGCTGGCAGCAAGGCCACCTGATTCTCTGAGACAGACGTCAGGCTAGGCACCAGTTACCCAGGGAATACCTGGTAAAGACAAGCCATTTACTGGATTTACATTGAACTTATGGCCAAGAGGCACAGACGAATGGATGAGGAGAGTGCTGAACCCTTGCAGACAATCCCATTGCACGCCACAGGAACAAACTCCACCCGGAAACAAGTGCCAATACTAGGCACTAAATGAGAGTTTGCAGAGACATTGAAAAGGAACAGCAGCAATAAAAAGTATGGTAAAGAAAGAGGCTATGGCATCGGAAGTGTTTGTAATAAATTACAAAAACTGTGGGAAAACAGTTTAGAAAAGTGTCTGGCTTGACCCACATGTGTCCAGAAATGGACAGTGTGTGTGTATGTGTGTGTGTGTATGTGAGAGAGAGAGGCAGGACTGAAGGAAGGTGAGGGGACAACAGAAAAATTCTATTATGAGCTTAGAGGGAGAAAAGAAACAGCTCAAGAAGCAAGACGTAAGTAGACACCAGTGTGGCATCTCCAAGAGTCTGGAGTGTGGCGATATTTCAGGAAAAGCATTCCATGGCCAAAGTCAACTGGTGGATTTTCTACCTTGTTTTGGTCCCCCGCACTGATCCCTCACACTGGCCACTCATGCTGGTCACACTGCAAACTCTTGTTAGACAATTGTCTTAGATACGGGTTTGTTACTGTGATATAACACCTTGACCATGGAAGCTTTAAAAACAGTATTACATTTACCGGGTGTTTCCAGAGGTTTAGGGTCCATAATGACAGAGAGAAGGAACAGCTGGGAGCTCACATCCTGATCCACAATCATGAGACAGAGAGCAAGCTCTGGGAATGACAGTTTTGAAACCTCAAAGCTAGACCCTTGACACACCTCCTTTAACAAGGCCACATCTCCTAATCCTTCCTAAACAGTTCCAGCAATTGGGGGCCATGAACTCAAACCTGTGAGCCCACAGGGACTATATTTAACTTTATTTTTCTGATTTGCATAGCCAGAGCCGCAGTTGTCGGGTG